TACCTACCTACCTACCTACCTACCTACCTACCTACCTACCTACCTACCTACCTACCTACCTACCTACCTACCTACCTACCTACCTACCTACCTACCTACCTACCTACCTACCTACCTACCTACCTACCTACCTACCTACCTACCTACCTACCTACCTACCTACCTACCTACCTACCATCCATGTATCTGTACCCGACGAGCAGGATCAGGTGTCAAGCTTGCTGACTTGGTTGATGTATGTCATCGTATACCAATTGTGTAGATTGGTGCTCATCAATCACTGGATTGTCTGGTTCAGGCTGAACATTGAGGAGTGCGGCGTTAAACAACACATAAACAAACAAACAAACAAACTTGCAAGAGTATTTTATCCATTTTCTCTGGCTTGTTTTATTATATAGACAACATGAGTGTACATTGCAAAGTTTCAGCTGTCCAGTGTATCCTCCCATGTGATGCACGTGCAATACAGTCGCACCAACTAATGGCGGACGAGAAGCCTTTGGTGAAGCGGCCCTAGCCAGGTTATAACACTTGGACAGACTGTAGACAGGTGCATAAACCTGTATGGATATAATACCGATGCCGATTGAAAAGTTTGACAAGCAAAATACGAATTTGATTAGAGGGCTGTATAAAGTGCCACAGTAGCTGGGGTGTCCAAGGACATTTTCCGTACTGAAATCACCAAATACTTTTTCCTTCGTTCTATTCCTACATCGTGGGTAATTGCAGATAAAGACAGATAGGGTGGTCAGGCTCACTGACTTGGTTGATGCACGTCATCGTATCCTTATTGACTAGATCGATGCTCATGATATCAATCACTGGATTGTGTGGTCCAGACTCGATTATTGACAGACTGCCGTCATATAGCTAGAATATGGCTGAGCCTAACACTGAGTTAATAATTTTTATCAAATATGGTGACGGTTTTCATGTCTTATTTTGTCATACCTTTGACTATTCCATTGATGTCATGCTGTACTCTCACATGAACTTTACTTGTTTGCTGAAATATGTTACTGCATTCAGTGTGTGCCAATACTTTGAGTCTAGTAGCACTAACTTGACTCTGGTATCATGTTGTGTACATTTTAGTGTCATCATCTGGACTTTTATTAGCTGAGCTTACCAGGCCGAACAGCACCTTGCTAGACACTAGCTTTGGACAAGTGGCTAAATCTGCACACTGCAAATTTTCCTTAGCTGGGAATGTATCTGCATTGTAACGAATAGTTCCAGGGCCCTTATTGTACCCATGTAAAATGTTTGGGTCATGTAACTTATACAACTTGGAAATAGGGCCAGATGGTATGCACTGGTCCACAACAAAGTCGATTCCTCGCAGTGCTCCAATTTCTAAAACAAGTTGAAACATTGGTGGAACTTTACTGGGATATTGTGACCATGGGCTGGAACTTTGTTGGACATTGCTGGATATTGCTGGACTATTACTGGACTATTACTGGGACATTGCTGGATATTGCTGGATATTGCTATTGTTGGAACATTGCTGAAATGTTTGTCTTTGTCATAAGCACAATACTGAAAGTTGAATAAGATTCAAATCCCCCATTTGAAATACTACAGGAGCAGGACCTCTTGAGAGCCTCACCACCATTTTTTGCATGACACTGTGTGAGGTGAACAGGTTCAGGGTTAAGAGCCTCGCCTTACTTTAGGCAATACACTGTGTGAGGTGAACAGGTTCAGGGTTAAGAGCCTCGCCACTACTTTTGGCAATACACTGTGTGAGGTGAACAGAGAAAGGGTTAAGAGCCTCGCCATATCACAATTGGGTGACATAAATCATTGCTATAGAATAGAAAAATACTGAGGTCATTCTAGATGTTCCCGTATACATAAGACACTGTAAACACAGTTAAACACATGTTAAAGTCAATACCAATTGACAAAAAAGAATTGACAGATATGTTTTTCCCATATTGATACTTTTGTATTTTATAAGAATGAGTTGATTCTGCACAGTAGGTGTTCAAGAAAAGCAACAAGTTTGTCCGTGTCCACTTCCGGTGTACCCGGTGTCCACTTCCGGTTTGTCCAATTCCGGTGTACCTGATGTCCATACCCGGAGTGCACGCTTCCGATGTGCCCGAAGTCCACTTCCGGTGTCCCCGATGTCCACTTCCGGTTTGTCCGATGCCCATTTCCTGTTTGTCCACTTCCGCCGGTTTGCCCGAAGTTCACTTCCAGTTTGTCCGCTTCCGGTTTGTCCGATATCCACTTCCCGTCTTTCCACTTCCGGTGTACCCTATGTCACTTCCGGTGTACCCTATGTCCACTTCCAGTTTGTCCACTTCCGGTGTGCCCGCTTCCGGTTTGCCCGATCGCCCACTTCCGTTTTTTTTGTCCACTTCCGGTTTGTTCGATGCACATTTCCGGTTTGCCCGATTGTCCAATTCCGGTTTTTTTATGATGTCCACTTCCGGTTTGCCCGATGCCCGCTTCCGGTTTGCCTTATGTTCACTTCCGGTTTGTCCACTTCCAGTGTGCCCGCTTCCGGTTTGCCTTTTGTCCACTTCCGGTTTTCCCGCTTCCGTTTTTCCCGATGTCCACTTCCGGTTTGTCCGATGCACATTTCCGGTTTGCTTGATGTCCACTTCCGGTCTGCCCGCTTCTAGTTTGCCCGATATCCACTTCCGGTTTGCCTGATGTTCACTTCCGGTGCGTCTGAGGGGGGGGGGGGGGGGGGGGGGGGGGTGCGTCTGAGGGGAGGGGAGGGGAGGGGAGGGGAGGGGATGGGAGGGGAGGGGAGGGGAGGAAAAGTACCTGCATCGTTAGGCTTGTGTCATACATTATGCTTGTGTCATGACCATTAAAGTCATATGCTCATCATAACATCATAATTGATATTTGTGTTTGTATGGAAACACAAGGTACTTTAACAGAAACAACATGTCCCTTCCAGTTTTGGAACAAGATATGTATACATTAAGCATATTAATACATATTCTGCTGAATGATCAGAAAAGGAATGAAACTGGAGAGGCTATGATACCATGTATATAATGTCCAACATTGTGCAACATTATCCAGAACAAATCGGCCATTCAGTGTCACACCCCCATACTAAATGAGTTTTAGTCCTCTCTTCCATCAATACAAGTGAATCACGAAGAAAGACCACACAGCAATGCGTTTCACTTTAACATTGATACAATTCAGAGTGCTGCTTTGACACTCAACAAACCATCGCTTCTTCTTACTATACTAAAGCCCAGCACATGGAACCATATGATTACCCATGGTTTGCAGTATATCAAGTAAAACGTTTGTCATTTTGGCCATTTGTAGTAACAATTATTGATTTATATTTCAAAAAGTGCGCTGGGAAATAGTAAGATCTATATAAATATAACATATAATGGTCCACAAATATTATTCTTTTTCAACGAATAGTGTTGATCTTTCTGTTTCAGAATTTACCAATAGTATATGTCTTTGTGGCTTCAGCATTTTGGGCGTATTTGCAAAACTTGAACTATCATTCAACGTGCAACACACGTTTGGTATTCAATTTTGGGCCCCAGGAAGAAAACCGGCACTTGTGGTTAACGGGGAATGCCGCGAGCTTAGAACCTACAAATAAAACATCCCAGGCCAGAAAAACTATCCTGTACGCCCATAAGCCAGAAGGTATTATTTCACAGCGCTAATGGGGCCACCAGTCGTCTTGTTAATCTCGCGCTATATCCCAACGTTTATAAATAGAAAGGGTGTTTTCCAGACAATTCACACCCGTCTGTAAATCCACTTCGTGGTACTTGTGGGTCCTTTCGAAAGTGCTTGTGTCTCCAGGTTTGGTCGGCAGTCTCTTGGCACCGTTCGCTTTGGCCCAGGGGCACCCTGAGTGGGTGCAAACGCCCTTTCTGGAAGGAACTCTTTTTTAAAAGAACTACTTACAAGCTACATGAACCCCACGCTCAACTCTCACCCTTCGACCCGAGCCAATCCGATCGCTTCCTTTTCATCGACCGACTAATCGCTTTTCTCCCTTTCCCTTCTTTAGCCTCGATTATCCACGCCCCGCTTTTACTCCGCTTCTTCCTCGCTTTTAACACGCTTTTGCTCGGCTTTCACCCACAATTCCGGCTTCGTCCTCTTCGCTTTTCTCCCTTTCCGTTCTTTTGCCTCGATTACCCAGTCTCCGCTTTTAACCCGCTTCTGCCCCGCTTTCTTCCATGTTTACGGCTTCGATTTCAAACACAATGTATTTTTCAGAAAATTTCACTACAATTTAAAAAAAATTAAAAAATAAGATAGAATTTTAAAGTGTTCATTTTACACACGGCTTCGCTTTCAAACACAATATTGTAAATTAACTTCTCTTGTCTTTCATTTCATCACATTTTTTACACAAAAGTTCACTACAAATTCAAAGCAAAAAATACAATTACAAAGTGTTCATTTTACTTCCTTCACTATGTGGCATAAATTGTGTCTTGTCTTTCTTTCTTTCTTTCTTTCTTTCTTGCTTGCAATGCAGTTTTAACTCTCTTCTCCAATTGTCACCATTTATACATCTTACACCTCGTCTGCACCTTTTATACTCCTCATTACTTTACCTTCACAGGGTTAGAAAATAACAGTTTTAGTCCACTAGCCCTTATAATGATAACATATAGCAAAACCCTTAAAATGGGCCAATTTCTACTTGTACTTTGCATACCTTTACCATTGGGCAGTTTGGCAAGGACTACAGGACTAGTGCTAATTTCTAACGCTGCCTTCACATTCACATCTTCTGTTGTCTCTAAAACAAATTATTGCATAGTTATACTTATTTTTTCTAAAATTGGGAATAGTTTTTATTCATCGTACACTAGTTCCACTTTTTTCTACTTCTTTCCACTTTTCATGCAAATCCACCACGTGACTACACCGGCTACACGGAGAGCATCTGGCCACTGCACCGACCGCCAAGAAACGCAGTTTAGCCAGACGGTACCAAGCCACTCAAAGGCCACCGGCTACACCGAGAGCATCTGGCCACTGCACCGACCGCCAAAAAACGCAGTTTATACAGCCGGCACCAAGCCACCCGGAAGGAAGCGGCAAAGCACCAATCACAAGCGAGATCACTAATGCCAAGGCCGTCATTTCCGCAATCGCTGACCATGGCGGCTCACGTATCTGATTGTGGCAGGCTGGCATCAACACACCCAAGGTGCTCGCTCGCTCGCTCTCGTCGCATCTCCATCGAGGGAGGGGACGATTATGCACATGCATCTGAAGGTAAATTCATTCATATATTTCACTCCACATCTTTTATTTCCCGCACAGAGCGGCCATTCTGTCAACCAGGGACGAAGCATGTTCCAAGTTTTTCTTTCATCACAGAAAATGTCACCTGTTTTTGCCGCTCTCTGGTGCAAATTGCAAGTGTTTTCGTGGCAAAGAAGCAGGCAGGGGGCTTTCTGTATTCGTGTATGGGTGATAAATGCGTACCTTCACACACTGACCAAGCCCTATAACAGAGTATACAGCTACCGTATTTCATCCGACAGAAGAACTGCAATTTATTATCATTAATCAACTTCATCACGTCCCTCAATGTAAACAAACCTAAGTATTCAACTACCGTATTTCCTTAAAAAAACACACATCCCTTTATGATGAGTATACATTCATTATGCTCCTTTGACTGATCAGGTTCTTTGTCTTTATTCCATTGCTGTGGTACCGGCCTGCCGAACTGATGTCCCCCTCCTGGCTCCCTGGCTCCCTCCCTCTCTCCTTCCCCCCTCCCCCTCTCCCCTCCCCCCTCCTCCTCCTCCCCCCCCCCATCCTGCCAAGTTCATTGTATCATTGACTATTACCTTTAACATCTGCTTTTCTTCAATATGCACATTACCTAAGGTAAAAGTCAATAATATTGTTGACATTAGTCTCCTTGTGTTACCACTTGATTGAAACCATGGTAACAGTTCTGTAATTATCCCAGTATCATGAACCAAAGTGACATCTTTATTAAAACCTTTATATCTAAATTTCAAAGAAATTCATGGTTTTGTTGGTTTCCAAAGTATCAGAGCATTGAGAGTGGTCTGTGAATCACTTGTGCTCATTGTGTTGGACATTGTTGCAGACCCTCTCCAAGATGCCTCCGTGACCACCAACATAATCTCCTGACACAACTTACCACAGCCCCTGATATTTTCTGCTTAATGGAAGATTGTGAAAGGTAGGTGATTTTACCTTGGTCTCATTGTTCTCGATAATATTTGTCATGTGGTGTGCTGTATTTGTGGTATCAAGCTCACCGCTCCTATAATAGCAAGGATGTATCTAGAATTGGCAGGCAAATTGGGTAAACATTGGGATATAGTTCAAAATTTGAATTTTGTAATGTAAGATTTTCGTACTTTCTGAGGAATTGGGAAATTTTACATTCAAATTGGGAATTTGTACAATTATTTGCCGCAGACTTGAGGCAGAATATGGGCCTCCGAGCAAGTCTAGATAATCCCAAAATAGATTTACGCGACAGTTCCTTTTTTGTGTATATTACAGCAATGGTGAAGGAGTAACTGTCGATGCACTTTACTGGGACCAGCTGATTTGGCACTAATTGACTCAGGCTGTCGATTGTGGCTCTCACTTCACAGGTCTGTGTTCCAATCCAAACATAGGCTAACCACAACTTTCTATTTAGCCCTTTCCGATCAAGCACCCCTTTACGATCATTAGGGTTAGGTACCCCTTTACGATCAAGCACCCCATTACGATCATTAGGGTTAGGTACCCCTTTACGATCATTAGGGTTAGGTACCCCTTTACGATCAAGCACCCCTTTACGATCATTAGGGTTAGTTATGTAGAAGGGCATGGGTTAGCTATCTCTTTTACTTGATCTAAAGTCATTTATGGAAAATCGCGCCATGTCCCTAACAACAAATGTAACTTGTGCTTGGTGTCAATCCCCGCCTTTCTCATTCAGTAGAGACTTGGAGCAAGTCTAGCCAATCACCCACCTTTCCTTAACGGGAAGCAGCAAGCACCAATCACAGGAGAGATCACAAGGGTCCTTGTTTATCTCAATCAGCTGGCCATGGTGGCATGTTACTTGTGGCTGGCATCACTACTCCAACATTCTGTCTCGTGGCATCTCCATCGCTGGTCAGGGACAGTCGTAAGTTCATGTATATATTTCACTTGACAGTTTATATGTCTCGCATGGAGCTGCCATTCTGTCAAATAGGGATGAGGCACGCTTGAAACTATCACACATGCCTTGGCCATTTACAGCCTTCCAAGACATTGTCACCTGTCTTTGCTGCCCTCTGCTGCACATGCCAAGTGTTTGTGTGGCGAGGAAGCAGGCAGCGCGCTTCCTGTATTCTTGTATGTATTATAAGTGCGTACCTTCACACACTGACCATGCCCGAACAGTGTAAACAAACCGAAGTATTTCCAACAAAAACACCTGTCTTTATTATGTTTATTCAATATGATCCACTCATTGACCAAGTTCTTTGTCTTTATTCCATTGCTGCTGTAAAGGCCTGCCAATGTCACATAACCACGTCTCCCTCCCACGAAAAATCACATAGATCTACCTTACTTAAAAATTTACATGAAATTCATTTTGTATTTTATTTCTATGATATCAGGGCATTAACATTTACATGTGCATAGTAATTATGGTTTATTTTTCTTTCTTTGGCTGTCAATAAGTTGTGCTCATTGTGTTGGGTATACCATGTCAACAAATCCATACTGAAGTACGCAAATTAATCATGAAATTACACAGTCTGGCTATAAAAAGTGTTCTTTGTATATCTGGACTTATGTTTGTAACTTATTTCATTAATTTTATTAAAAAATACCTTTTAATATTGTTTCAATTAGGAAGATGGCACTGCTCACCGTTATTAACAGCAACCATGGTCGGATTACCACTATTGACTCCTTGAAACGAACTTTAGTTGACAGAGAATGGATACATATATCATAAATGCCATACTTTGACTCGTTAAAATTCATATTTGTTATAGTTTGACGATTCTATGTCAACACGTAGTTCTCGCGATCACGTGCGCGGGAACCTTGATGGTGACTTGTCAAACTGGTTCCATGTGAAAAATAATAACTGGCAATAGCAATCAGCTGCCTAGCTTAGGGTTATAATTATATTAAATATATTTTGTAAAAGCTGCAACTAAAATAACAAGATATTGGAATATATTATTCCTGATAAAACAATAATTTCAGTTACAATTTCTTGGACCATTGCATACAAATTCTTTAAAGTTGTATCACTGGTGAAATACAATAATTATTTTCTGGTGTTTGAACTTTGAATTGTTTTGAAGGAAAGTTAGAGAAAGTTCCACTTTGAAGCTTAACATCT